CGTAGACGGCAATCGCCAAATCACGTATTATCAAATACTATTTACGTACGTTGGGTGATGGTGAAGAGGTTGTCTTCGACATCGTCAAAGGAAAGCAAGGACCTGAGGCCGCGAATGTCACTGGACCAGATGGAGCACCGGTTTGCTACTTACCATCTACCATTTAGATATAGCTGATTCGGATTGCAGCTGAACAAATGGAGTATAAATATGTGAAAACCTCACAGATTTGAAATTTACAAGCAATGTTTATCGCCTAGCTGCAGTGAGCGATGGTTGTTCCCAGCTGTACTATTGTCAAACCGTGAAGATCGAAGTGAATCATTGCAACACTACACTGAGTTCTAGGCTTGAGTTTTTCAACAAAGGTTCAGCTGGTCAGAATTTTTGCAGGTGCGTGGCAGTCGATTTGCAGTATTGTATCGTCGGCGAATGGGTATAAATCGTGGTAGGCGTTGGCGTGATCCAACGACGATGCCATTCGATGCACCACTGCAAAGATGTTTGATTTCTTCCTCTGTTCAGTTTCTAAAACCAAATTATATCCATTTCTCGCGTCAGGCTAGAAAATACGCTAGGTTGAAGATTTTTTGAGAAAGTTTCTTCGAGAGTCCATGGGGAGTTAATTGTGCCATTCAGTTTTCTACCTTTATCTTAAGGGGATCGAAGGCCGATGAATCGTCGTCGTCGTTTGTTATCGGCGCGTGCTCGTCGCGATTCTGTTAAGGGAAATCTGGAACCGCCACAATATCGTGATGGAGCTTACGATGGTAAGGAAATGATGATGATGATGGGTAATGGCTTGGCAAATAACGGCGCGTACCGAAGACGAGTCCGTAACTTCAGAGGTTCCCCCGTCGATTTTTTTTAAGCTTAAATTCTGTTCGGATTCTTTCGTTCTCACCTTTTGTGTCGCTATGTATAGTTGCTATTCATTTAGCTTAAAAAACAACATTTTGTTCAATGATATACAGATCAGTGGTAGAGAAGCCACGAGCTTGTGAGCAAATTGCGAACATGCTCATGCTCACGAGCGTGGAATGTAACTGAGTAAACAAAAATTCATTTTTATCATTAACAATGAGCTGGCAACTGTGGGTGAACTCGTGAGCAGTGAGCATGAGAAGCTGGAGGTTTCTGCTCAAGTTGTAGGCAGCAAATGGGCAAATGGCATTTACCATTACCAGTACAGACTTCGAGCATTAACTCTTAATTAAAAAGTTTGGTTGTGACAGCTTGATCTGATTTCAATGGAATTTTGATCGTTATGGCAGAACAAGGAGAGATTCCAAGTATGAATTGATCAAGTGAATTGATTGTGTGAAGTGAATTTCAATTGATCGTATGGCAGGCGATTCCAAGTGTGAATTGATTATGTTAAGCTATGGAATGAGAAGAATTTGTTTCAGCTCGTC